ACAGTTAAAACAAGTTAGTTGCTTTCTTATGTACAAAAAAGAAGAAGTTGCCAATATGTGAACACGGATAAGAGGTAGTTACCCTTCTAAGTCATTTTCCCTTTGAGTTACCGGTTAAAACAGATATTAGCATGTAATATTGGTGTAATTTAAACAGTTAAAACAAGTTAGTTGCTTTCTTATGTACAAAAAAAAATAGTTGCCAATATGTGAACATGGATAAGAGGTAGTTACCCTCCTAAGTTATTTTCCCTAGCATTATTGATGGATTGTTTTTATCTAGGAATTCCTTTCTTTCCATTTTGTGGGGACACACTGATAATTATCATTTGTTTTTGTCATACTCATAAGTTCTAATGTTTGTTTTGCGGGGCGTAATTTGTAAATTTTTTATTAGACAATGAATATTTTTCTGTTTTTTTTTAAACGGACTATTTGCTTTGAAAAACTATGGCATTAGGGCCATTTCTGTAAATTATAGGGACAATTTGTAATTTATTTTCTACAAAAAATCAAACTTATCAACATAGGAACGTATTATGGCGAAAGTGTAAACCCCAAAGAGTATATTATTTAAACACTTGGGATAATTTTTGTAAGTTATTTTCTACACTAGGAGCAAACTAGCCAACATATGAAAATTCTAATTTGAGTGGATGAAAGAGATATTTTACGAAATAGAAGGGTGAAAAGTGTCATTCTACAAAACAAGGGACATAAAGTAACAAGATACAAACGTTTAATTAATAACACATAAAAATAAGATGGAATTCATTTTAACTAGTTTTGTATATGTATATGTGAAGTAGTTTATAGATTTGTCCTTTATGGACCTTATTTATGTTTCGGTCACAAATGGTGGTGGATCAAGCATTTAAATTTACATTTAATATATGGATCAAATATATTCTTGTATTGATCCAATTATAGATATATGAATCCAATTATAGATAAATTTCTTGCTAAATATTCTAAAGGGAAAGCAAACTTATTGTCGATAAGAAGGAGGTTAGTTTTACTCAAATCCGTTTTGGGATATTTGGTGCTTATTTTATGTCTCTTTTCCCTTTTCCGATGAAAATTATAAAGAAACTTGAATCTTTAAGAGCTTTTTTTTCTCAGATCGACATGTGATGTAAAGAAAATCCCATGGGTGTCATGGAAATGTATGTTAGCGGATAAAGAGAAGGATGGCCTTCAAATTAAAAGTCTTCAAGCTCTTGATTTTCGCCCTTATTTAGAAATGGATTGGAGATTTGTGCATGAATCAAGTGCTATGTGGGTGAAATTAATCAAAGATATTTATAGGGAGAATCTGTTTAATGTTCGTTCTATGTCTACTGCTAGAGTCTGGTCGAGAATTGTAGGGTCTATAAATAACATGCATGATAGTGGCATCAACCCTTATTCACCGTTAGTGAAAAACAGTAGGGGTGGTCGTAATACTAAGTTCTGGTATGATTATTCACTTGATCCAAGTCCCTTGAAGGACCAGTTCAATAGTTCAATAGGTTTGCATGTACAAGATCACTCATTATAGGGGTGCTCCTTTGGATCCTCATTGTTGCAAAAAACTGGCACGTAGAAGATCATAAACAAGTGAAACTCAGGTTGTTAATCCTTTACTTTTGTTATTTTTCAAAGTAAGTTGCTATAAATAGTAAAACATGGATCCTAGGATACATGTTGTAACCTCCTGAAACCCATTGTAAAAAAAATTCATTCTAAAAGGAGATATAGTCATTTTCCGTAAAACCAAAAGTCACCAAAAACAATGTTTCACAACATAACATAAAATCAGAACATCTCTGAAAACAAAATAACCATTGGATGATGTCTACAACCACGTCTTCACCTTGCCCCAATCCTTAGAAATACCTGAAACATATATATCCATAACTTTAAGCCAAAGTATAGTGAGTTCCTTAAAATCTCCTGTTGGGATCAAAACCCTAATTGTGATTGTAACAACCCAAGATTTGTCATTTATAGTCCCTAGGGAGGGAAGGGTAAAGCCATGAAAAGCCTAAGGGCTAAGTTGCAATTTTGGGACCAGGAGGAGTACGTTGCGCGTACATAAGGGTACGCTGAGCGTACTAGGCGGGCCCTAGTATGCTGGGCGTACTCATATCAGAAGGAAACACTAATATTTAGGGTTTGGGTGCTATATAAACAACCTTATGAGCTCATAACCCTTACTTACCTTAGCCTCCATTATTTAGAGTCGTTTTCCCCAAACCCTAATCATTTCCTTGAGTGTGTGAGCTTATAGAGTATATTTTGAGTAGTTGGAGAGGAAGGTGTTGCATTAAGGAGTTGGAGAAGGAGAAAAAGCTTGTAGATCTGAAGTTGTTTGGTGCCCTAGAAGCTCCAGAAGGTAAAAAGCTTCAAA